CAATGATGAACTGCCTTTAACTGAAAATTGAGTGTTTACTATTATCATTTTGCATTATTGACACAATATTTTCCTAATTAATGCTGTACAGTTGCTTTGACACAATCTGTATTGTTAAAAGCGCTATATAAATAAAGGTGACTTGACTTGTTTCTTTGCACTGTCATTTAAAAAAATCTCTCTGTACATGTTTTCATCCTTAACACTTCCCTCAATGAGTTTTTTTCACTCATTATATCATGCCATTCTCTCAGTCATTTAATATCCCCAGGTAACTTTTCAATTCACACTCACGCAAGGCACAGTTTGATCCTTTGACTCCCAGACCAACCATTCTAAAAGATGTTGGAATATGAAACTGAGGGGAAACACTTATAATTACCATCTGTCACAAATGGAGAAATCTGATTTATTCAGAGACTGTAAACACGGGGGGGCATATGAAGATCTGGGTTAATAATAACAGCCCATAACTTCTTGAACAATACATCTTAGTTCCAAAACTTTCAGACAGCATCCTTCACCCTTTGGGTTCAAAGTTATTTTGAAGAAATTAATCACCTGTCCAAATTTAGAGCCATTCCTATACGTCTCATACAAGTGTAAAACATCAGTCTTATCCTGACCAGATGTCAGATACTGAATAAACATATATAGATGTGTCAACTGAAGAGCATTTCTGGGACAATACAGTCTTAAATGTAACTTTATACACAAAATCTAAAGTGTATGGGTAGTTACGAGTAATTTTTAGAGCAACATGCAAAATGTATGAAGAAGAACATTGTAGTTTGTACAAAAATAGTAGGCTATTTTTAGACAGAACTAATGTGTAACTGTTGCTTAGAATAGTCTTAACTTTTTATTTAATAAACTAATTGCTCAACAAAAGCTGTAAAAGGACAGCCTGGACTTGTATTTTTCTGTATGGCCTTCAACTTTGGGCAAAGGTCGTATCATAAGACTCTGAGCTTATGTAGGAATCCGAAACTGCCATATGGCAGCTAAAGCTCATGAAATCACAACAAATACAGCTAGCTTTAATAGCAATTCCTGGATCACCTCTAAAGGGAATCTCTATAGTCTGCCCATGCTAAAAAGACATAGGAAATGACAACACTGTTTTTGAGCATTCTGAACCAGTAACCTAACATGACAGCTGTGTACTAGTCCTTCTGAAAAGATCCTACTTATAAGCTCTGACATCATAATTGAGACATGATGTGGATTCGAGTGATTTTTGGTGCGACTTCAGAAAAAAAGTGCCAATTTTATGTTTCTTTCTCTCTTTTACACCTACCGATAAAGACAGGAAACTTGTTTAATGCAGGAACAAAACTACTTTACTTGTGCTTATTATTTATCAATTCAGCAGAAGCACTGCATTATTATGTGCTAATTTGGTGTCAGTGACACGAAATGCTAAACACTAAATAAACTAAACTGTACAGTCAACATTAGCACCTAATTATAGCTAGTTTAGCCATAGCTTCCTCCTCACATATGATTCACACTTGGAAATTTGGAAGCCTAGTTTAGATGGTCCAAAGAGTTTTCAAAACTGTGCAAAATTGTGTTAACTGTTCATGTGCCCATATCTTTAAAAAGGATCCTTCCAACATCTGAAGGCAGAATTAATGACATTAAAGCTTGAATTTAACAAAATCAGCGACAGATCTTTTCTTCCTTATTGTGGCATACATCAGAGTAAAACGAATTATTGAAAAAGTAATAAATGTAGGGTTCTTGGTTCTATCCATTGGTTGTTGATTAAATGAAACTTAAAGTTGATTTTAAGAAAGGGGAGGGGTTTTAGCAGTCTAAATGATTGGAGGAGTCAGACATATGTCACCAGAAAGAAGTTGTTTTACGGGAAGATCAAGAAATGACATCTTTAATTAAGTGCAAAAAAAGAAAAGAAAAAAAAAAGTAAACAATCTTGGATGAATCGTTTACAATAAGATCAATAACTAATCAGAAAACAGTGAACTTTCATTTCATGCCAACTTTTCAACATTCAACTTTTCAACCAAAATCCAGTTACGTATTCTAATAAGTACATAAATCAACCTTTAATCATTGTTCTAGTGTTACATTTTAAAAAATGGAAATGAATGGCAATTTTTTCAAACAATACATCACCAACTGAGAAAAATATGACCTGAGGCCAGCAGAATCATCAACACGCTTATCTACCTCAACCTCAAAAGCTTTAAAACACAAACTAGCAAATTACCTCATGGGTATGAAACTGCTCTTTGACTTCTTCGACAAAAGAGGAGATGGGTGGCTGTGCTTGCAAGCCGTCCTCCGCGGAGAGCAGCCAGGTCAGGACCTCCTCCAGAGCACTCTGGTAGCTTTCCAGCTCATTTAGCCCCTGTGGCAGGGGACTGGGGGACGGTCGCAGTTCATCGGGCTTGTCTGGAGACTGCAGGCAGATAGACGGGAAACAAATGGGTTAGATGATGTATGGATTTAAAAATAATAAAAACATTGAGTTTTTGTCATTAAATCAAGACTTGCCTAAAGAGCATATTGGCAATGAGGCGGTAGGAGTGGTTGGCTAATCATGGGTACACACACGCGTGTCGCTAAAGCCCCTAGAGTTCTGGATGTTTCATCCTCAAAAGCTGGGTGATCTTTAAAGTTAGCCTTTTAATTTTCTTTTCCTGCTTTGGGAAATACCCTCTGTCCTCCTATGTGCTTGAGTGAAATGCACTGGCTGACTGATAATATCAGGGTGTTTTCAGATTGAATTTGAAGATTGTGAGGGGCCTCATGGTGTTGAGTTATGATTTAGCACAAGGTTTATTAGTGGTGCTTATGGTATTGCTCATATTTCTACAAATACCTAACCATAAGTATTCAAATTCGGTGTATAACTTGTCATACAATTTGCGCCGTGGACAATAAAACCTCAAATCACACAGAGGTTTTTCTAAGCAACCTTCAGCCTACAATTTTCATCTGACCGACCAGGCAAAAAAATCCCACAGACTGACAGTAAAGAAGAGACTTGAGTCATATCTTGGGGACCAAAATATCTTTAGGGTGACTAACCACCCAGAAACTACCCACAACAATATGTTAAAAAATACTCAGAATACTTTCGCAGCCACCCGCAACACCCTAGAGTTTTACAACAGTGTTATTTTAGTATTATTTATATACTATTTTGAATGACCTTTTATTGTCATATTTTCAGAATGATTCCCTTTGAGCTAAATTGACCTGTTTCCCTTACAGCTGTGATAGGTGTCAAAACTGGATTGGTACATGTCAGAAACAGCTGACTGTCAGCTAATGTAAGTTTGACTGATGTGGCCTGCCTGAACTAAAGCAATGCTCAATTTTAATGGCTTTAGTTTAAGTTAAAAATAACAACACTGTTTTCAGAAGCACTACTCACATTTTCTTCTAAAAATGTACAATTGTGGCAGTGTTCCATCAACTAGACTGGTTGTTAAAACAGGAAGTTGGTCAAACAGAGATGCCTTATGTAGATAAAAGTATCTCAGGAACACACAATGTCACGTATTCAATGTTTGTATTTTTAAATACTACATAATAAAGTAGATTATTACATTTTCCAAAGAAAATGTGAGTGGTGCTCACAATGCTAGCTTTTTGTGTGTTGTGCTGTGTGTGCTGTGCAGTTGATAGGGTGTTCGGGACGGTTCCATACTTAAAGTCAAAAAAGCCCACACCCAAGTCTTTGAAACATCCCTCAGGTTCCTTCCTCATTGCAAATCTATGGCATTTTTTTTGTCAGTTTTGTTGTCTGCCAGGCCAATATAATACATTTGGAACAAGCTTTTTAAAGCGTGACAGCACTGATATCAGTCTGAGGTTGTTGTACACTAAAAACAAATTACAATGCCTGGCAATGATATGGAAAACCAGCAGTCAACAATGACCAACCTGTGTGGTGAGGAACTTCCTCTGCTGTTCGGGCGTCTTGACGTAGGCAGCTTGAGTGAAGGCATAGCTTTTGAATCGAGGCTTATAGGAGGGAGACGGGCTGCGGACACGACTCTGGGCCACACTGACTGTGATCTAAGAGAGGTACAGAAGACAAGAAAAACTGAAATAAGCAAACAAAAAATGGATGGAAATATTGAGGAGAGTTGATTGATGGAGCAATGAGCTGGATATGGCAGTGAGAAGGACGATGAGGACATTGGAATGCAGAGAGGCAAAATTAGATCACAAATTACAAAACATAATTCAATGTCAGCTGGCAAAGTGTGTTGACGAGATAGAGGTGCATTCGACAACCTGAGAACGTCTGAAAACCTTTTTGAAACCAGAGAAGTCTCAGGCTTTCATATTAGACGTATGTGGCGCCAGAGATAATGGGTCCATGCATTACGATTACTGCACACTGGTCAAAACTGTGCGTGTCTATGAGTGTGTGTTCCTCTGACCTGCTGGGAGTAACGCTGTTGGGTTTGAAAGAGGAAGTGCTCCTCCTTGGTTACTGTAGCTCGAGGGAGGGTCTCCACCTCTTGGATGGCCTCCATGCTCACGCCATGGGGCAGCACTTGGAACAGGGAGGTGACGTACATAATGATGGATTTCTTATCTGGATGAGCTGTAGCAACATCTGTGATGGCGAAAAGATATGCCCATGAGTTAAGCAATGACTTAATTGACTTAATTAATCTAACTCCTAGAGGAGACATATGTGAGATTATTAGAGTCTTAGATGAATGTGAGAAGCAGAAGATCCCTGCAAACACAGAATGTTGTAAGTGTACTACTAAGTTTAGGATTGATACAATGTTTTTAAATGTTTTGAAAGAAATCTCTTATGCTCACCAAGGTTGCATTTAAAAGCTGGGTGATCTTTAAAGTTAGCCTTTTAATTTTCTTTTCCTGCTTTGGGAAATACCCTCTGTCCTCCTATGTGCTTGAGTGAAATGCACTGGCTGACTGATAATATCAGGGTGTTTTCAGATTGAATTTGAAGATTGTGAGGGGCCTCATGGTGTTGAGTTATGATTTAGCACAAGGTTTATTAGTGGTGCTTATGGTATTGCTCATATTTCTACAAATACCTAACCATAAGTATTCAAATTCGGTGTATAACTTGTCATACAATTTGCGCCGTGGACAATAAAACCTCAAATCACACAGAGGTTTTTCTAAGCAACCTTCAGCCTACAATTTTCATCTGACCGACCAGGCAAAAAAATCCCACAGACTGACAGTAAAGAAGAGACTTGAGTCATATCTTGGGGACCAAAATATCTTTAGGGTGACTAACCACCCAGAAACTACCCACAACAATATGTTAAAAAATACTCAGAATACTCAGCCAGCCACCCGCAACACCCTAGAGTTTTACAACAGTGTTATTTTAGTATTATTTATATACTATTTTGTATGACCTTTTATTGTCATATTTTCAGTTTTCACACACACACACACACACACACACACACACACATATATATATATATATATATATACACACACATATACATACAAACAGTATATGATTTTTATTTCAGTTTTTGTCATTTTTGTCCTTCAAATTAAACAGAATTATTTCAGTTAAGTTTTTTTTTTTTACAGTTAAGTTTTTATTTACATGTATTTTTTTTCAGCTTTATTTCAATCTCCAAATGTAAATTCAGTCAAGACCACTTTCGTCAAATGTATATTTATTATAATAATGATGCATACAATTAGTGTTGGCGGTATGGTTCTGCTCTGGGCAAAGTCCACGCGCCTGTCCATGCAGCCATGCCTGGACAGAGTGGGGAGAGCAGCAAGTCAAACCCCCCTGGGGTAACAGAACAGATCCAGTAATCATGCACACATATTACAGTTCACAGTTTAACATGAGTTTGTTGTAAACAGGGGTAAATATAATGTAATTTACCGTAAAGCTGAAGAAAAAAAATCGCAAACAGATATCAGATTATAATACAGGTTCAAGCTGATTTGGGGATAGAGGGGGAGTTAGATGTGGTGTGCAACCAGGCTGAATGGGGATTTAAATAGACCGCTATTTGATCAAAAATACAGTAAAAACAGCAATATTGTGAAATATTCTTACAATTTAAAATGACTGCTTTCTATTTTAAAATATTTTAAAATGTAATTTATTCTTGTGATGGCAAGGCTGAATTTTCAGCATCATTACACCAGTCTTCAGTGTCACATGATCCTTCAGAAATCATTCTAATATGCTAATAAACATTTCTTATTATTATCTACATGAAAGAATTTCTTAAAAAAAAAAACCAAACTTTTGAACGGCAGTGTTCATATAACTTTTATTTAAATTATATATCTATACATGTTCTTTATGGACTTATCCGTAGGAAAGAAACATCATGCATACTGTATATTAGATCGCTTTCCTTTGGATCTGTCCATAGAGAACCAGTCATAAGTGGTAAAAACCCCCATGGCATAAATTATGTGATGAAATTCTGTTTTAGATGTTGATGTAACAAGACGTTTCCTCCCATCCAAAAAACTAAACTAAAAAAGCCCTGTCTGTATTAGTCAGAAAAACTTCAAAGGCTAATGTGAGCGAGAAGAAGAAAAGAGGAGGTCATACCCTCAGGGTCCAACAGTCGGTCGATGCCTAAACTCTTCTCTGCAACGTTGAATGCATGATCCAGTCTCTCAATGGCATTATCCTGTTGTTCCACCACACTCCAGTTAAACAGCTCCGGCCTGGCAAAAAAGACAAAGCGGATGATGTAATTAATATAGGATAGTTAATAACAAAAATTATTTTTCCGTGCACATGCTTGAAATAGCTAAAAGCAGATCGAAACAGCTGGTTCATTACCCAAATTACTACACAGAAAAATAGAAAAACAATAAGCCATAATCAGCTTCAAAAATAGCTTTAGGCCAAGCCAGTATTCAACCATGCAGTTTATGACCAATGAATATAAGACATTCATTTTCAATTTCATTAGTCGTGAAACCAACGATTTCTGTGATTTTCAAAAAAAGCACCCAAAAATAACAACCCCACACACCTGTGGCTGTGAATGAGCGCATTGAAGGCAAAACCATCGGCCCAGCTGCTGGAGAAGTTGACCACATTGAGGTCTTTGTAGTTTTTAGTAGACTGCCTGACCCAACTTAACAGAATCTTTTCACTGTTTGTCTGTTGTAGGTCTGCCATGACATCTTTCATCACATCCTTAACCTGTACGGCAAAGGACAGGATATATACACATTTATCAGAACAGTGACAAATATAGCAACATGGCCTCATAAAGCTAATATTTACAGACAGATTTTATGATTACAATTTTATTAACAGGATAAGCACAACAAAAATATGTGATAACACTCAGTACATGGTACATATACTGCATGTACAAGGGTAATATCCTGGTTGAATGTGAGCCAAGGTAATACCACGGGATTCTTTGAAATGCCTAGGAGTAAATACCAGGTACAAGAATGTGGTAATATATTACCGTTCAAACGTTTGGGTTCTGTACGAGTTTTGAAAGAAGCCCCTTTATTTGATCAAAAATACAATAAAATCATTATTAATAGAAATATTATTACAATATAAAATAACTGTTTTCTATTTGAAATATATTTTAAAATGTAGTTTATTCCTGTAACGGCAAAGCTATTACTCCAGTCTTCAGTGTCACATGATCCTTCAGAAATCACTATAATATGCTGATTTGATGCTCAATAAACATTTCTGATCATTAACAATGTTTAAAACCGTTTTTAAGGTTAATATTTTTTTCAGGATTATTTGATAAATAGAATGTTCAAAAGAACAGCATTTATATAAAATATAAATATTTCCAATATCATAAATGTCTTTACAGTCACTTTTGATCAATGTAATGCATCCTTGCTGAATAAAATATTAATTTATTTTAAATAAATCGTAATGACCCCAACATTTTTAACAGTGTATAAAGATTTCCATTATGTAACATTATAACACCATGGCAAACTTAAAAATATCTAGGAGTATGATGTAAATTCCATGGTAAATTAATATGATAGTTACTAATCAGTCGCACGTTTTGAATGAATCTCAATGCAGAAACGTTACAGACTGAGTCTTAAATGCCCTTATTCCTTTAACCACCGCCAACATAAGCTGAAAGAAGATGACATCAGTAGCTCTGAACATAAACCACAGTAGGGTCACCTTATCAGATGAGCAGAAAAAACAGAGGAAACGAGTTCCTGTACAGATAAGCATATGACAGTCCACTGCAAATGCGCTACATATAAAACCTTTGATAGAATAACATAATGGATGATAAAGGTCCTTTAGTGCTCTACTGTCCTTGAAGGCAAACCAGAAAGATTGTGGGTCTGATTTCACTGGATTGAACTCTCATACCTGCCAGTGGAGAATGATGCTCCAGATGAGCCCCAGGGTCAGTTTATGATTGCCATCTACAATGTCAGCTCCTCCAATGTTCACCAGCTCAACCTAGAAATGGAGCGGATGGGAACGTAAGATCCTTCATTGCACATAATACGACCAGGATTTTGTATTAAGACAGTAAACAGGGTCAGTTTTGATTATAAGTTGACTTTAAACAAGATAAAGATTACATACTTCAGCCACATCAGTTTTAGATATCAGCAGTTTGATATTTGCGGGAAAATGACTTCAACCAGACTGTATAATTTGCGATCTTACTTGGCTTTTATTTGGTTCTTCAAACACATATTCAAGCTGTCTGGTTGTTTCACTACATTTTATCAAGCATAAAATGCTTTTATGTCTGTGAAATGGATAAGTACCATTACCTTATCAAACTGGAAATCTTGCTTCTGCATAATTTTGTCTTGCATTTATTAAAAAAGCTCAACCGAAACATTGAAATTCCAAAAGCTGTGAACAGTAAAACAGCCAGTTGAACCAATTAACTCACATTGTTCTTCTGAAGGATCTGCAGGGCCCTGTTAACATTGTTGAGGGAGTGCACTCGAGTGAAACCACGTTCTTTAACCTGCAAATGAAGAATATACTGTATCAGAACTGAACTCTGAGCATCCATTGCAAATGAATTCAACCATTTATGCACTCAGCCTTGTCCAAACACTTTGAAACCAGGAGTATTTTTTCATTGATAAAAATAGAACAATGAAAAGCATCTCAGAATATCACCCCTCAGAGCCAATTAAAGGGATAGTTCACCCAAAAATGATTAGCCATTATTATAGTAACAGTACATAACACGTACATGCGCAAAAATTGGCTGTTAATTTAACCCCAAAATGTTATATATATA